AACAAATCACGTTTATTGTCACATCACATTTACACAGGTGTGAAGGTGAGTGAAAATCATAGGTGCGTATAGATAAACACAGATCAGGCATAACATAGCAGGTACTATTTGTTTGGTGGATCATTCTCAGCACTGCAGTATCACTGACGTGGTGGTGGTGTGTTAGTGTGTGTTGCGCTGGTCTGAGTGGATCAGATGCAGCTCGTCACAGATGATTAAAAGACAAAAGAGATAAAAGGTATACATTTAAATAAGATCACATTAACATAAAAGCAACGGTAAAAATAAATAAAAAGCAGCATTAAGTAAGCTAGTAATATTAATAATAGTGATAATAATAAAAATGACAGCAATGATAATAGAAATCTGAAATGAATAGAAAACATGGTAATTAAACATGATCACTAATTTAAAAATAAATGCAGTAATAATAGTATGGAAAGTAAGTAAAGGGGAATGTGGAATTTAGAGCTCCTGGCAGGATGGCTAGTCTGATTCTGGGTCGTTAGCACCAATACAGTCACACATCCTCACACTGACGTGCTTTCAGATCCAGTTAGATGGATGTGGATCTCAAAATCATCCAGACTGAGATCCGTCTCAACCCATCTGTACTTGTGGAACACTAACCAGCTGCCTGTTTCGTTATAATGAGAGAAAAATTAGTCCTGTTTAACAGGATTTAGTGCAGCACAGTATGACAAATATTGAATAAAAATCATTGCATTCACAGTTTTTGATATTCTTTTTAAAATGTAGCACTACTGTTTATTTTTTCTCTGTTTCAACTGATTAGATGTCTAAAAAAATAAATATTGTGTATCGGGAAAATTTCTTGACGTATCTGATGTTATATTTTTGCCATATCACCCAGCTCGATAGACATCTGATCGGCTGGAACAGAGAAAAAAGAGTCAGTAGTGCTATTTTTAATCCAGTTAAACGGGACTAATTTTGCTCTCTTTATAATAAAACATGCAGTTGGTCAGTGTCTACAAGCACTGACGAAGTACACGATATGTTCAGAAATGTATATTAAATTATAGCATGACATAGTTTATCAGAGTAGCAGTAAATATTGTCATATTTGTGCAAATGTTGTCATGGCCGTGTGAAAGAAATTCAGAAGTTGAATTTAAGCAGTGTTCGTTTTGTAGATGCTCAGTGTAAAAACAGGGCGTGCCCCAGGGGTCTATACTGGGTCCAAGCCAGATGTCATATATCATACCTGTTTTAAAGATTCAGGGCCTGCCTTAAAAAATCTCATCTGTCTTTGTAGTCTGTGTGTCTGTTAGCTTTGGAAAAGTGGAAATGTGTGTTTTTTGTGTTATTTGTTTGCTCAAAGGCAAAACTTATACCTGTATGTTTTTAAAGAATATGAGCTAATTCGTTTACTCAGCAGTCAGCGCTAATCCTGGGGTTTGAACGAAGACTAGCTACTCTGTTTTTAGCAGTATGTTAGTCTGTGTGTATATACTGTACACAGAGCTTCAGACCTGATGTCATGCCCCTCCTCAGGTGTTTACTCTGCCATGCCAAGCAAGTGTTTATGTTTCATTCTCCTGCATTGCCTCATATTTACTCTCTGAGTAATGCAGCAGCCTAACGGCATTTGGCTCATTCACCAAAGAAACCGTGTAACGGACCGACACGCTGCAGAAAAGGGCCACAGCTGCGTCTTTGTGGATGTATACAGCTGGACAGATGGACAGTGCTCAACTTTACTGAGGTATTAGGGTGTTTTCACGCTTTCACACCTGAGAGTTCGGTACACTTGGTGAAGTGTGAAAGCCGTTTGGTTCTGGTTCAGAAAAGCCTTTTGGTCCAACTGACAGCAGTAAGAAGCGCGCTGACATTGAAATCATTACATCTCAGGTACCAAGAGTTTTTACTGAACTGGGAAAATCTGCCTTTAGTTCCAGAGCACCAGCGAACTGGACCCTCACTACAGGAAACACTAAAGCTCAGCTCACTGGTCACTCAGTCACTTTAAACTATGACTCTCTAACCACCTCCACTCTGCCTCACACTGATTTACCCAATTTTTACCATTATTATCTAATTTTCGTTATTTCATTATTTATTTGAGGGCAGCCCGGCGGCGCAGTGGGTAGCGCTGTCGCCTCACAGCAAGAATGGCCTGGGTTCGATTCCCGGCCGGGTGACCAGGGTCATTTCTGTGTGGAGTTTGCCTGTTCTCCCCGTGTCTGCGTGGGTTTCCTCCGGGTACTCCGGTTTCCTCCCACAGTCCAAAAACATGCAGTCAGGTTGGTTGGACGTGCTGAATTTGCCCCTAGGTGTGTGTGAGTGTGTGACTGTGTATGTGTGTCTGTCTGCCCTGCGATAGACTGGCGACCTGTCCAGGGTGTATCCTGCCTTCCGCCTAATGACAGCTGGGATAGGCTCCAGCTCCCCACCGTGACCCAGAAGCATAAGCGGTTTAGATGAGGGATGGATTATTTATTTGTTTGATTATTATTATTCAAATTTTTATTCTTCTTTTAATTATGATTATTTGATTATATGATTATTTTATCTTAGTCATTTGAGTAACTTTTTAGTTTACTTTTTGATCTTATTCTCCTTTTATTTTATTTTGATTTGATTTTACTAGCTTTTACATTTTAGCTACGTTTCATTTATTGTTTTTTTTATTGTATTTTTATGTATTTTTATTTTTAATGTTTCTTTTTTTATACTTACCTGATTTGAGTCTTTTTTTATTATTAAATTTACTTTTATTATTTGATATGTTCTTAACATTATCAATCCCTTGTTCTCTATGAACTCGGCGACATTGTAAATGAGGGTCACCCTCAATGTTCTCCGAGATTAAATAAACGTTGATTGATTTCAGTTTCGGCAGATAGTTTTAGATTTTAGATTTGGCCAATATTTCAGTGGATATTCGATGTATTTATTGAACTCCATACAAGCAGAATTTATGCGCTAAGACACACTAAGGTTATTCCAGGGTTCTTTAGTAAAGGCAATGGTTCTGTGTGGAACCATGAACACTCAAAGAATCATTTGCGTGCTTAATTGGTTCTTTGCATGGTGAAATGCGTCTTCAGATTGATTGAGAATGTGTTTTGCGTGGTTCTATGTAAGCCCAGAAAGAGTTCTGCTATTTTTACAAGCTTGACATTGTAACAATAGCAGAACCCTTTTTGGTGCTATGTAGAACCATTTTCAAAAAGGTTTTATATAAAACCATATACATCTCATTCTCCATCAATCTGAAGAACCATTTCACCATGCAGAGAACCATTTAATCATGCAAATGATTTTTTGATTATTCATGGTTCTATACAGAACCATTAACTTTACCAAAGAACTCTTGAGGAACCTTGAAGTGCCAATTTAAATACTGTGTCCTTCCATGATGCTAATCCAGGTAAATGGAATCTGAATTTCTACACTCTTAAAATGATGGTTCTTCAAGGGTTCTTTAGTAAAAAAAATGGTTCTGTATAAAACCATAAACACTCAAAGAACAATCTGAGCACACCACCAGCACGTCAGTGTTACTGCAGTGCTGAGAATGATCCACCACCCAAATAGTACCTGCTCTGTGAGGGTCCATGGGGGTCCTGACCACTGAAGAACAGGGTAAAAGGGGGCTAACAAAGTATCAGAGAAACAGATGGACTACAGTCTGTAACTGTAGAACTACAAAGTGCACCTATATAGTAAGTGGAGCTGATAAAATGGACAATGATTGTAGAAACAAGGTCATAATGTTATGGCTGATCGGTGTATGTTGATGTTCAGTAAACTCTATTCCGTGCATCATAGCAGTATCAAAAGTGGCATGCAGCCGTTAAAACGTTGCCGTGGAGACAGCATCACTGGTGAAAATGGATGTTTATGGTTAATGATAGCTTTAGCTAGCCGGGTTGACTGTTTATTTAAAGGGCGGTTACACCAGTTTTTCGAAATTTCTGCAGAATTCAGTGTGTGAGATGTAAACAGAGAGATTCAGAGTGGTTTGGTGTGAAATGGTTCAGATGTCTTTACAGTGGTGGTGATAGGAACCAGGGGTCGCTATGACTACAACACAAATACAGACATTTTATTTACTATCCAGAACCACCAGTGAACCTACACGAGTCTTCTGAGTTTATGATGATGGAAAAATAGTGATCAGCCTGAAATAATAAGTTTCCTTTGGGGACTATTTTTGCCTCACAGCGCTCTGCATGTATCCCTCCACCATGGATAAATTTAAATAATACATTTTAGGATCAAAATCTTCTCAAAACTATCGTGAAACGGTGTCTCAGACACCAGGCAGCGTCTTCATAACCATTTCATTTAATAACTTTCTGCGGACCTACACGTCTTCTGAGTTTCTGTATGAAATGCTGAGGATGGTAAAATAGTCCTGCATGTATCCCTCCGCCATGAAATTCTTTCCTTTTATCAAGTGCAATCATACAGTGCAGTCATATATACAGAGATTCAACACAAGCATAAACATCTTAGGGGCAGTCCCTGAATTTCAGCATCTGCCCAGTGTCCATACGCAGTCCCCAGGGATGAACAACCACATTCTCACACAAATATAAAGAAAACACATAGATATATGTTTTATGATAAAACATAAAGTGCTTAAATATAGATGAAGAGGAAAAAAGTCACAGGAATTGTCTTAGATTATGTCAACTGAAAAAATATGAGATAACTGGGGACCATTTAGTCAAGAATACATCTGTTTTGAATTGTAATCTTGCAGTGATAACTTTCTATGAGGGAGCTTATAGAGGTGGACGTCTGGTTCCTATCACCACCACTGTGAACAACTCAGTAAGTTTCTCTAGAACGGAGTGTTTCACACCAAACCACTCTGAATGACTCTGTTTACATCTTAACCATTTAATTATGTAGAATTTTTGAGAAATCAGTGGAGTTCCCCTTTAGGTTTAAGGAGTTTGTGATCTGTATGATAACCGGATGTGTGTGTGTGTGTGTGTGTGTGTGTGTGTGTGTGGTTCCAGTGTAAAGGAGGCTCAGGCGGCGCTGCTGAAGAAAGCCCTGGCCAGAGGAGTTGGAGGGAGTAAAATCACTAATATTCTGCTGAAGCACATCGAGACCGAGAGGAACAGACTGCAGTCCATCCCCAACACTGCAGAGACACAGCAGTCCAGCTCCAAGACCTTCCACACCCAGCATGGCCAGTACACACTCGTATACACACCAGGTCTGCTTGTGTGATTTCTGTGTGTATATATATTATATGTATTTATTTGTGTGTGTGTGTGTGTGTGTGTGTGTGTGTGTGTGTGTATTGGGGTTGCACAGACTTGCTGGCTTTACTGCTCGGCGATGACACTTGATGTCGGCTGATCACGTGATTATGACAGTAACAACATAGATGCTCAGGGATGCAGGAAGTGGGGGGGCCGAGGGGGCTGCAGGCTTCACCATTTTCATGACTGCCACTGTTAATAATAATAATGATAATAAAATGTTGTGAACATTATAATAATTTGAGCGTAGTAGTGTGAGTTTGTGAGCTTCTTTTAGAGAGGAGTTTGTATTATTATATTTTTAAATCTGCAGTAGCTGCACTGTTTCAGTGACCGCTGTATTTTAGTCACAGTATGAAACTGTTGACCGCTTTGAGGGTGCACTTGTAAAACACACACGGGTTGAGGTTCAAAGAGAGAGCATCTACGCAGAGTTACAGGCCAGTTCTGAGTCCCAAAGCAGCCAAATACTGGTTTTATCAACCGTTCTATGTCCCTCAGTGTGTGCGTTTCAGTGTTAAATCTCACCACATGCCTGTGGGTGTGACAGAATCCATTACCACACCGCATATTAACGATCTGATTGGTTGCCGCTCCATTCATTTGCACACAGTCCGTCCAGAACGAGAGAGCAGAGAAAGAATGCGCATCCATGATTTGATGAGCCAGTTATATGTATATATTGTTATCTCTCGCCTCTTTGTAGCACTGTACGGCACGTTCTGCCACCATGTTAAATGCCTAAAAGCTGAGGAGCCTGGTGATTGCGGGTCTGTATCTCAGAGATAAGGTATTGAACGTTATCTCTGGTTTCCTAAAGACTACAATAAAGAGTCATATGTGGTTTGAGGGGGGGGCGTAACGCTGTGCCGTCCTGTAAAGTTTGAAGCCAGTCACTATATTCGCCGAGTTACGGCTCTCTAAATTTCTCTGGCTCTCTGGATTTCCACTGTGGGCGATCGTCACCTGGGGAGTCGGATACAAGTTTGCAAGATTCCAGCGTCTGTATCTCCGGTTCCCTGAAGGCTAGCTCTGTGATTGAGGACTCACTGGAAAGGTGCGCCACTTGTGGAGTTTGGCTAGGCTTCTTTAAAATCAGATTCTTTTGGAGGCATTTTTTCCAGTTTAGTCGTGTCCAATTCCACCCACTAGTTAGGACTCCCCCAATCACACGATACCACGAGTGCTAGGAGGGTGAAAGCAAAGACAGGCTTCATCTGAGTTTTGTGAATTTCCTCCACATCGTTTTGAACTGCCGCTAATACAGAGACGGGGGGCTATCCTAACCCCAGAGAGAGTGAGGACAACTGACCGCCCAGCCACGGACGGCTGTAGCATCGCCAGGGATCAAACTCACAATCTCCTGACGACAGGGCCAGCGCTGCGGTAGTTGTGCCGTGTGGGAGCCCCAAAGTCGGGATTTTAAAGTCGCTTGTTGTGAAGCATCTCTTCTCCTGTGGGTTTATTCATGACGTCATCAGCGATTAGTCAATGTCGACTCGACTTTAAAAACAAAACTATTGACTTAAAAAAAATCTGAAGTTGTGCAGCCCCTAGATCGTGTGTGTGTGTTTGTCCGTTCTTGTATTGCTATACTTGTGGGGACCCATGTCCTCACTATGATAGGACAATATGAAATTTTTGTTGTGTTGTTTTGTGTTGTTTTCACCACAATTACTTTTTTATTGGAAAACTAAAAGAGCAGAAAAATTGCCTTTTGGATACTGAGGTTAGGGTTAGGGTTAGGGTTAGGTGTAGTGTTATTTAACTACAGTAACACAAAAATCAGTAGAAGTCTATGGATGTCCTCATATGTATAGCAAGACAAACATGAGTGTGTGTGTGTGTATGTGTGTGTGTGTGTGTATGTGTGTGTGTGTGTGTGTGTGTGTGTGTGTATGCGTGTGTGTGTGTGTGTATGTTCATATGTTAATCCAAACAAAAAATAAACTTAAAAACTTGGTTTTAAAGGAATAATTGATTGAAAAATCAGATTAACTATCCACGTACCCTAACTGTCTGCCAGGACATGTTTGGTGTCGTTTGCTAATTTAATTTTGGACTGGAGCTACGAGGCTAATGTGGCTAGCAAGTAATGGAAGTCTGTGTCACCCAAAATCTTTTCTCTGTTGTGTTTACCTCATAGATCTACTGATCTAAATGTCTACATTTGGGGTACGAGGATAATTGTGTAAATTAATTTTTTTGGTAAACTACTCCATTAAACCCAAAACCCTGACCTATCCCAATGTTAAACGCAGGGGTCGGGCCTGTTTAACGTCACCCGTTCATGATGTTTATTCTCCACAGAAGTCTGTTTTCATCTGATTCGGTGTTGTTTGAGTGTATCAGCTTTAAAAACAGCGTCTGGCCCACATGCCTGTATATCTGTGTACAGCAGGGCGCAGCGTGTGCTCTGTGAAAGCTGCAGCCGCTTCCCAAAGCCAGCCATGAACGGAGTATATCTTGTTTTAATAATTTGGCCCATTTCCTAGTTTTTGCGAACTTCTGGAGCGAGATAAGGTTATCGCTGGGTAAATTTGGGGTAGCCTGGAGTGAGACAGGCTCAGATAGGCCATTGTAGCAGATTCCTGTCATTGTTTGGCTTGGCCCAGGGCTGTAGGTGCAGTAATTACTCTGGACGAGATGGATGTGGTTTGCTAATGGGAACCGCTGTGCTGGTCTCCTGCATGACCTCATAGCACGTTAGAGTGGCAGCAAATGGGGGAGTTAAAGGGGGGCCGAGCTTTCGGACTGACAGACATACAGTGGTCCTAATAGTAAACAAAGAGAACCAAATTAAAGAAATGAGACAAAAATATTAGACGTAGTCATTTAGATAGATAGATAGATAGATAGATAGATAGAGAACTTTATTGATCCTGAAGGGAAATTGCAGTGTTACAGTAGCAACACATATAATTGCACATAAACTTATGTAAACTGTGCAGAAAATAAAAAAATAGAAATAAAAATGTAAGTTAAAGTATAAGACAGTATAAATAAAAGTATATATTTGCATAGTTACATAGCATATAAGACAGATTTGTTGTATTTACATTTATTTCTTTATTGGTTAATTAATTAATTAATTAATTTATTGAGGAAAATGGAGTCATTGTAGTGTATTACAGATCTGCGAGTGGCAAAAGTATGTGAACCATTGCTTTCAGTATCTGGTAATAACTGCAACTAAACGTTTCCTGACATTTTCCTTTAGAATTTGCTGGTATAATTCAGAGTTCATTGTCATTTCATTGAGATACGAGGTTTTGTTCCGACAACAGCGAAGTAGTGAAATAGTACAAGTATACTACTAGTACACTGATATTAGTATACTTGCTCTAGAAAGTATACTTGGGAAATATACTTGAACTTAAGTTCACTTAGTAAAATAAACTTTATCCCTTGTGTGGTGTTCAGGTCTGTGGGACCCGTTTTCAATGTTTACCAAAAGAAAAAATTGATGATTTATTATTATTTCAACCTCAGATTTTTGGTCTTTGCTCATTTTCTGTGAAGATCATATAAAATAACCCATTTTCAGTGTCTTCACTCTGTTCACCCCCCACACATTTATATTACACATGTGGTGTTGGGTGAACCCGCGGGGAGTAAAAGTGTGGAGGTGCTGTGTCCTTCACTCTGTTCTCCTCCTACATGGCCTGCTGTTAGTGTGTGTGTGTGTGTGTGTGTGTGTGTGTGTGTGTGAGGGTGTACAACATGGACAGGCTGCTGACTGGCTACAGCTGCTAAAGGAGAACCCTACACTGGACACTTGTGATATTTCAAACATCTGGTATTTTTTACATACATTGTTATGGCTGTATTGATTTAAATAAACAATAATGCGGTGGGTCCAGCAGACCACTGAGTAACACACACACCAACACCACACAAGGGTTAAAAAAGATGGTTATTCAAGGGTTCTTTAGTAAAGAAAATGGTTCTATATACAACCATGATCACTCGAAAACCCTTTCTTTGCATCCTGAAAGAGAAGAACCAGATTGATGAAAAATATGCGTGAATGTGCTGTAGAGGGTCCTGTATAGAACCTTTTTGAAAAGAGTTCTATATAGCACCCAAAAGGGTTCCTCTATTGTTACAAGCTTGACACCATAACAGTAGAAGAACCATTTTCAAAAAGGTTCTATATAGAACCACAGCACATTCTCCCTCAACCTGAAAAACACTTTCATGATGCAAAGAACCCTTTAATCTTGGAAAGGGTTTTTAAGTGTTCATAGTTCTATGTAGAACCATTTTCTTTACCAAAGAACCCTTGAAGCACCATTTTTTTTGGTGCTATATAGAACACTTTTCAAAAAGATTCTATAAAGAACCACATAGAGCACATTCTCCATCAATCCGAAGAACCATTTCACCATGCAAAGAACCATTTAAGCATGCAAATGGTCCTTTGAGGATTCATGGTTCTATATAGAGATTATTGTCTTTACTAAAGAACCCTTAAAGAACCAGTGTAGTACCTACCTACCGCTGACGCCTGAGTTTTCAAGTTTCAATTTTTTTAGAAAACAGTGTCAGGAACCAGTTTGCACGATGCTGATTGGTGAGCTATAAGCCTCCATTACTTCCGACTTCACACACCGAACGCGTCCTGGCTGACGGACCACATTTTGGGAAAACTGTGTAGTGCTGATTTTCGGTGTAGTGCAGAGTTTGGCCAGATGTTTGTGCTGTAGTGGAGCAGTTACAGCTAAAGACTGTGTTCTTCAGTCACGCCTACTACGAAGCACAAACACTGCCAACATCAACACAACACACAAACTTCTGCAGCCAAGCTTCTGACGGCCCTCCTTTTCCAGCACAACCTCAGGGTCCCCCCCCACCTGCCCACCCCACTCTGCTGTTCGGTAACGCCACAGTCATTGCACTTCCCCTCCCAAGTCCTGCTGCCAGCTAGAGTGGAGA